TTGTTCAATCTGATGTTTTCTGGCCACATCACCAGTGCTGAGCACAACTGACATTGTAAATGCTCGAAATGAAATCCACTACCATTACAGTCATTCTCTGTATGGCAGAGTCATTGCCACTGTCAAAGAAGCAAAAGCAGCATTATTATGTCTGAAATGATTTGAGCAGACATAGTGCAGCTTGAAAATTGACACTAGATGGGCAAAATTCTGGGTAAAATGAGATCTCCATCCCTTCCCAGATGATACAGTTAGACAGTCCACCTGAATGATGAAAGCTCACCACAGCCTGAGACGCATCCTGGGGGATTGCTCTTCACAAATACAAGTGATTCAGCGAGTTTTTGTGGTTGTATGTAAGCATATGTCAAGACTATACTTAAATGCACATCTGGCGCGCATGTTGTTGCTGGCTGCTGCTGGCGATATATTAGTTCAGCAAAATAAAGTGTTCTGAAGAAACACAAATCTTGTGGTGAGGTGAAAGGCTCAGTCGAGCTAAAATTAAACGCTGGACCCTGTTATTACAGGCCTGAGAGATGTGACAGCGTGACCGAGGACTAGAGGATCATTGCACTGCGTTGTTTGTGTTATTACAGTGGTTACCGCCTGTTTTCGTGTGTGATCCTTGAAATGAAACTAGTTTCTACTTGTGATCCCTTAATACTTGCATATTTCACAGACTACGGAGGCCAATTCAAGGAATGAGTCATATTAGCTCCTTAGGGTGCTTTGCATGTAGACTGTGTAGGGTTATAAAGCCCCCTAGGCTGGAAGCGCTGAGTTAAGTTCACAGTGTCAGCAGAAGCAGGTTAGAGCTTTTTCTGAGGATGACCGTTTTAAATGTAACATGCAGCAGTAGAGAAGTGTGTATCTATACAATGTTTGTTTTGGTCAGGATGCTTTCACATCATATAAAAAAGAGTTTTTAGAGACTCTATACAGTTATGTAAAACTAAGTACACCCTTAACACCAAGTACTGCTTCATAGTATGAAGAAGGTGAGTAGCAGCCTGATAATGCTGATCATTACCTATAGTAAATGATCAGTCAGTGTGAGAACATCTATATAAGCAGTAGTTTGGGCATCTTGCTGTCTACAGCATTCAAATGTGTATTAACAAATGGCACAATCTTCCCAGCAGGTTTATCCCAGGATATTCACTTCAAGTCAGACTGTGGAATGCTCAGACAACATCTCACACTCTAAGGTCCCAGTTAAAGTTCCTGACAGTACAATTAGAAAGAGAGTGAACAAGAGTGGCTTGTGGGGAAGGGTACTCTCTATAAAGAACAGGGGAGCACAGTTTAAGGTTCCTCAAGTAGAGATGGAGGCTACAATGTTACAAGCTTGGACTGCTCATTACAGCTTTGTTTAATTGTTCAATTTCGCTCTGGCTGTTGGTTGGGGTTACTTGGCCTTAACGTGACTCTGGGTACCTCACTAACTTTGTATAGCATGCTGTCTGTGCTCATTGTAAAGACCTGAAGTTGAGTCAGGAGTATAATGCGGATGAATCTGTTTATCTGTTTACCATTGTGCTCTCGTCCTTTTGTGCAATAAAAGTAAACACATGCCTTTTCAGTTGCACTTTTATCAGGAAATGTGTATAGAAGGGCTATGGAGCATTGGTGAAAATGGCTTTTGTGTATGTTTCTTTTACTTTATGTTCTTGGTATTTTTCTGTGGCATAATAAATCGGAGTACTGGAAAACAAAGCATTTCTATAGCTTTTTCAAACGTAAAACCTGATTAGGAGTCACTGAGTATGAGGGTTTGCCTGTCTGTAGTCACATCACTCAGTCTGTGAAGGGCTCCTCCTTTGACAGACCTGCATTAAAGGCTTGGGATGTGATCCATGTTCCATTTTCTGTCTTACGTACTAGTTGCCCTTTGAAATTGAGGTGCTCTTACACTCCCACACACTGTATGCATATATAAGCAGCGTAAACACACACACTTTGGTCTTTGCTGAACAAATGGCTTTTACTTTATAAAAAAATCATCTCTCTTGCTGTCTCCACACAGCTACTGAAGTCTTTTTCCATTAGGCTCGACCACCTCAGAACCATTAATGGCCATAAACTTAATCAAGCCCAGTTCTTTTATGAGGCCATTTCATAATATGGATAACAAGCACATTCGTCTCCAGCTAAATAAAACCGCATTGCTCCGCCTTGGCCAAGGTACTCCGACACGGTTAATAAGATGTTTACCTCAAGCTGAACGCCCTGCAACGGAACCAGCCTCCAAACCACCGCTCACATTCCAAACCCGGCGTAATTACAAGCTCGGTTGATTAATCAACAATATGCTGCACTCCAACGCCACAAGGGCTAATTAACAAAATGAACAAGATGGGCAGGAACACTTATTAGGAAGTTCAAGCTCACTCTCTGAATTTGGCAATGCTGTTTACAGTCCTAAAACACAGGGACAGAATATGTGCGGATATCGCACAGGCGGAGACTAACAATAGCACACCAGTCCAAGCATGTAGAGTAAAAGAGCCTTCGGAGGACACTGATACAGCACAGTGGCTGGCTGTGCACCTGACAACGCACACAGCAGAAACAGCATGCAGCCGAATCCATCTGCCTTATTAACCGGTCCTGCTAACAACGCATCTTACCGACAGCGCATCTTATCTCTGCAGCTTCGGCCTAGAGGCAGTCTCACAGAACTCTAATCAGATGGGAATAAACAATCTGACCTTGACAAAACCTGATTAGATATACGATCTGACCCTAGGATAAGAAAGAAGAACAACATTCCAGGCAGAGTTCAATTAGCCCTGCGTCTCCGAATTTCTAATCTTGTGCTTAAATACTTTTTTAAACCAGTCTTTTGTTCAACGACTGCAGCTTTCACAAGAGTAACAAAAAACATTCTTTAAGACATTACACACAAGGAGAATGACCAACATAGAATACTACAACAGACAGTCCAAAGGTTCACAATGCAAACTCCAAACTCAGCTCACTTAAGGAACATGTGACTGGAAATTCCTGCTGTCCGTGGAATATGCATTCCGCCTAGCTTGACATGACAAGATTTGTGTCTTATTCACGAGGGAAGGTTACAGAACCATCATGAATGAGAAATCCTCATTAAGATGAGGAGGTTGCATTAAATGTCATTTCATAAATCAAATGAAATTCATGTACAGCTTATTGTCAAATACAGCCTCCCCTGAGAGCCTTTTGGGTGGAACCTCAGTGATAATGACAGCATTTTGTTTGGAAGCACCATCATTTTTCATCAAAAATAAATAAATAAAGAACAAAATAACTAGAGACTGTAATTAAATGCTGCAATGAACTCTGCAGCCTTGTTTGTTTCTTTGGGATTCATTAATACGTGGAGCACTTAGTGGGATGTGAAAGCAGGCAATCTTTCCAGTCTTTCCTGAGCTATTAGCTAATGCGAGATGGGCATTAGCTAAGACAACTGGGCATCAGAACAAAACAATGCCATTTAGACTGCATCAGAAGATGAGCAGGAAGAAGTCATAATACAGTCAGTGATATGCACACTCCACTGGTGCACACATGCCTTGTATAATCAGTGTGCCTGTGGTCTGTTCACAATCTCCATCAAATTAGAAAAGATGTCTGGAAAGACTTCATACTGGAGTAAAAAGATTCTTGTTTTGATATTACTGCCAACGACTTTGCAAGCGGAAACAGTAGGACAGCTGAACTACATTACTTAGCTTAATATTCTTGGATGGTGGCAGAGCAACCCGCAGCCCATCTGTCCAGGGGGAGAAGCCTGTGCTGACTTCCCCCATATCCCAGAGATGTAGATAGAATTACAAAACACAGCTATATACGATCCTATTGTATCAATTACACCGGAGTCAATAAATCAGATCAGAATCAGAATACTTTATTGATCCCTGGGGGAAATTATTTATAAAGGCATCTGTCATAGTGTGACACAGCAAGGTGTGCAAATCTCACTGTCAAAACATGCCACAGAAAATCACTGAGATATGTGCCCCCCGAACCAGAACCAGAATCATACCTACAGTTGCGCTTTGAACTGTTGATCGTGTTGTCTTGCGGCTCTGCCGTAGCCCCTTTTTTCGGATGACACGAGCTCTGGAGGCTCAAGACACCAACTTCTCCTGGGAGCCTTGCAAATCCGGAGCCTTACAATATGATAAGTTCCCACCTTCTGATAGCGCCACACGTACACCACAGTCCAGGCCTTCCAAAAATAAAAACATAATATTCACAATGCCAAAGCGGAAGTCCGCGCGCCCCCCCGTGTCCTCCGAATTTCCCAATCCCTCACAGCGTGTTCTCCTTTATATTATCCAGCATGCACCTCTCTCCGTCAGAGCACCATGGACAGCCTCCCCATCACGCACTGCTACTCCGACAGCAACCTGGTTTACATGCTGCCAAATACAGGCAGCTGGTGTCTCGTGTAATCCAGGGGTGGACTGAAGTGCCCTGTTGCTCTTAGAATGACTTTAAGCATCAGTGACCTTATCGCAAGCAAGGGTCGGTCTAACAAGTCTTTGAGATTTACTGTTCAGTAGGATGGTGAGGGCTGCTACGAGCACTTGAGATTCCCGTGTCAGTGAGCAGCGATAACAGGTGCGCTGAGCGCTATGCAAACAATACATCAGTGGCTAATAGCAGTCAGGTCCCTTTCGAGCAGATAAACGCACTTTACGGCTATTATCCGGCTATCAGTGCAAGTGCCGTGATCATAAGCGGTGGAAAGCGAATCTGAAAGCGTTTTGCTTGAATTTTAAAGAGCTGAGCTTGCAGCGGTGATTACGCCTCAGGACAGAGGGCAAGATGAAGAAAAATATGAAATACATATTGCTACAGAAATTATTTCTTAGATCTCAACAGATCCACCTGCTTTAATCTTACTGCTCAAATGCATTCTCAGTAATCACAGCCTCTAAACATAGCAGCAATTACCCATACAATCCCCACAGCGCCCCGACTTCTCCCCAACAGAGAGCTCGCCTTACCGGGTAGCGAACCGCGCTCTTCTCCTCCCAACTGGTGATTTTCCGTTTCACACCACGGCCAGGCATTTGCCAATCAAATCAGCGTGCAACCAAAGCTTTCCCCGTTGGGATATGAATGATGAATATGCGTGATAAATTGACCATTTTTCCACATCCACAACAGTTCACGCTCGACCCGCCCCCGGGAGGCGGTGATTGGTCAGAAGCTCCTCGCCGTCTTCGTCGCCCCGTAAAGAAAACACACACATCTGGACGCGACCCTGCACAACTGGAGCGCTCGGAAAGCCCGAATTACGCACAGGAATTGAACCAACACAGAGGAACGTCACATTTCTCGTGGTTCACTATGAGTTGAATGTAGTACGTTGTTTATTTTGGCTAAAGATAGCAATCTTGGTGGGAAGCATTGTTTCCAGTACAACCAGCGTAAACAGAGCATAAGCAGGTAACAGTTCTTATAAGGGAGACCAGTATAGAAGAATAACCTTGCTTCAGCAGTTCTATCACTGTTTAAAATAGCTTTCGTGATGGCCAAGTTGAGAAAGGCTACAACACATTATTACTCTACATTAAATTAGAGTGCAGCAGATGCCTCTTTTTTTAATTTTTGGCAACAAAGACTTATATCCATATAACGGGCAGATTCTACAGATTTATAATATCCGTTTTCCCTCTTGCAAAACACCAATAATATCTGAATCTCCTATGGACTGCCGCTGTGTTCTAGTAGCCTATGTTTGTATGAAGTAATGTCGTTCAATGTACATGGTTAAATTTACACATCTTTGCATGTTTGACGAGCTACAACATTTTATTTTTCTGAGGGAAGTGTGTGAATTTTTTAATGAAGTAGAAACTACGGAAAAAAGACCTATGCCAGAGCGCTTCAGTGTAAAACCGGGATTTCTTAAACACTTGCGCCGCCGTGCGTCCGGAAAACACCTTTCCCTTCCGTCCTTCCTTACGGATTCTTATTGTCTTGCTGACAACATCGTATCACTGGAGCCGTACCAACCCAAGCGTGGAGAGAGGCAGGCTGGGCAAGCGAGACTAATCACTGTGCAACAGTCCAGAGACTTTCTGAGGATTAGTGACAGCTGCCACAGTTTTGAATCGTGATGCAGCAAGCGTTTACAGAAAAGAGAAAGAAACAGAGGGGTCCATGATGGAAATAGTGCATTATTTATATCGCAAAGGAATACATGGGCAATTTGAAAAGCAAATTCTGGTATGCATATTGCAAATCAAGATAGAGTTTATTTAGCAAAAAACAAACAAAACCCTGCGTACCCAGAGACATCTGCATAAAAGGTACCATCAAATTAGCCAAGAGTTCTAATCACACACACACAACATTCACATATCTTCTTTTGTTGTATTCCTTTGCTTAATCTTGAGCAATGATTTAAGAACTCCAGATACTGTTACTCAGAATGCTGAGTAACATTTTCTGACGTACCATGAATGCATCATCAGGCTCCTCCCAAACCAGAAATAAAACCCGCTTGATCTTTATTTTCAAAACCTCGTTTCATTCTCCCAGGCAAAGCATTCCTTCTCGCACTTTATAAACACTGAGAGACAGCGACCGAGAGCTCAACGGAACGCCTCGCCTTGCAGACAGAACTCGGGGTAAGAATTCAGGAGAGCCTCCTGCGTTTATTGATCGGAGAGCTTGCCCGTCAGCTGTGTTGCTGAACAAATATTAGCAGCCTTCATTCAGGAGAGACACGCTTTGAGTTTACGGGAAAACATGTGCGGTTCTAATGTCTTTTTACGAGTACTGTGGTTGTTTTTATGCTGCGCTATTGCAAGGTAAGCGAGGATCTGACATTGTCATGAAACTATACATAATTATTCATTTCCGCTTAAGAATGACGCTTTAACGACGCTGTTATTCAAACCATTTGTTTGGTTATAGCCATCGTGCCATAGTTTAGTTTATAACGGGACAACAAGCTCGTGCAGATCCACGATTAATGCAGATGATTTTCTACCAGAAGATTCAAATGACCCATCGGTTGGGTTTTGTAACCCTGCAGGTGACAGCTCATGGACCACACGTGCTTACATTTGCCGTTGCTGTAGGTGTCTTTATGTGCAAGACCATAATCCTGTGCGGATTATGCATTCTCTTCCTGTCTCCAGCGACATGAAGTGGGTTTTTTCACAAACAATTCTTTTTCTCATGTCTAGCTGCTCTCCTTTAACCGCTGATCGTCAGGCAAACATAACCAGCATGCTGGAACAGCAGGCAGATCGGGTCATGGCCCTCGGTGAATGGGAGGAACGTTGGCAACAGAACAAAATCGGCTTCCATCAGCCTGAAGTGCACAAGTAATGACCCCACTTTTATGTAGTTCAGTGGAGTGAGGGTGCAAAAGTAGCCCAAATGCATGTAAGACTGTGAAGATTACATCAACTATAAAGGTGCATCACCACCTAAAGCTGTGTCCTGTTAAAAGCTTTAGAAAGTGAGCTTAGATTATCTATTTTTAAGACAAGTACCATCAAACGGCTGATCCAGACATCACCAGACATCACCTCAACATGAGATTGCAGCAGGAATGTGTATTTGCTGTTAATACTGTTTTCTAACAGAATGCTGAAGAAAAACATTGATAAAGTTCTCAATGGACGAACAGGAGTTCGCTTCTTCTTCCCTCTGTGTGGGAAAGCAGTAGATAGAAGTGGTATGAAAACATCTTACTAAATTAAATTAAGTTGATCAGTATTAGTGTCAGTTGTCATCTTTGCTAACCTTTTGTTTTTTCGTGATTCTCAGGCTAGCAGACATGGGCCATTCAGTGGTTGGAGTGGAGATTTCTGAAAAGGCTATTCGTCAGTTTTTTGAGGGAACAACATGACGTACACCGAGGAGCCTGTGCCTGCTATACCTGGAGCAAAGGTTTACAAGGTTGGTGAACTTCATGTGTGCAAACACGACCACTAAATGATCTAAGCTGAGGTAGTCATGTTATGCTTCTCAGCAATTAAGTGTCTTTACGCTGAATAGAGTTTTTTATGGTGATGCCTGAGTTTATTATGTGCATGTGAGCAGCTCTTTCTTCTGAAAACCGTTTTGATCTCAGTGAGATTTTGGGCAGAATGGCTGCAAGCTACAAGAAAGTTATATGCTACTTTAAAACAGACACAAGTTGTTCATCCGTGCTGTCTTTTGTTTTTAGAACTCAGAGAAAAACATCTCCCTGTATCAGTGTAACCTGTACAACTTCTCCAAGTGAGTAAACTACATATTGTTTTATGCTTTTTAAAATAAAATAATTAAAATTACTGTTAATTGATACTGTTAAACTTCACAGTTCCATCGAGGGTCAGTTTGGAGCAATTGGGACAGGGGCTCTCTCGTGGCCGTCAACCCAGGAGACAGAGAAAAGTAAGATGAGATGAAGACCCTCATTTTAAACCCTTAGAATGACATTTATTTCAAACTAAATAAACTCCAAACATTATGTTCTACACAGTTTGATACTGTATATATAATGCAGCGGTCCCCAACCCCCGGGCCACGGTCCGTGAAACGTTTGGTACCGGGCCGCGAGAGTTGAGGCTCGGGTGTGAAATGTATGGTTTCAGGGTTTTTAGCATTATTTTGTTATCGTTTTATCATTAACTCGGTTTTCCTGGGTCTTTTCGCGTGTGTTGTGAATAAATCTTCTTCTTCTTCGGTACCGGTACTAGTTTAATTTGTTGGATTTATCCGCGACACTTTAAAGGCCGGTCCGTGAAAATATTGTCGGACATAAACCGGTCCGTGGCGCAAAAAAGGTTGGGGACCGCTGATATAATGTACCCATACACGGATGTCCCATGCCAATGCTATTCTTTTATTTTGTAGGTATGCAGCTCTCATTATTTCTTTGATGGCGAATGACTGCAGATACCTCCTGGACACTTTACTGTACAATCCTGATTTATATCAAGGTATTCTATATCATTTCTATATTGTGTGTGTGTGTGTGAGAGAGAGAGAGAATAACATAAAATACCATATTTTAAAATCTGTTGATCTCTTAGGGCCTCCCTTTTCGTGCCTGATGAGCAGGTGCATAGTCTGTTTGGTGAGTACTATGAAAAATAATTATGGCTGAGCATTTTATATATTAACCAAAATACAAGTGATAACTGACAGATTTGTGTATAACTCTACAAAATATGGGGTCTTTTTTCCAGATAATTAGAAACTTTTTTAATTGTGTATTATTTTGTTTTACTTTCTTTAAATTCAGGGAGCAGCTGTGGTATAGAGTTGCTGCAGTCAGAGGATGCTCTCACGGACAAACAACGAAATTGGGGACTAGATAAATTTCTTGAAAATGTGCACCTCATCACGCCAAAGAGCAACTAAAGGCTCAGAGTTTAGAGAAAGAAGAAGAAAATCCCGGGAAGGAAAAATAAAGTGGAAAGTGAAAGTGCCTGAAATTCAAGAGAATTTATAATTCTCCTTTTTATTTGTTGTTGTTATGGATCAAATAACATGATAATAAAAAAACACGATCATAAGACAAGATGTCTGGTGTTTTTAATGAGTTTTGTAGCTGTTTAATTTTATTTATGACTTTTGCACTCAAAACAAAACATAGAATTCAGAAAATATTAATTCTATGATAAACAATCCACTGAATTTAGAATATGTCGAAAGGCTAAACTGTGGGAGTCACCCCTGCGTAAACCTTTTATTCAGTCGTGGCTTTGAGCATTAAGCATCCAAGTTCTCTAACACATTTCAAACAGAACTCCAGAATTCATAGAAGCATATGTATTATTAAAGATAGAATTAGTAAGATGAACAAGATAAGATTGTATACCCTCATATAATGGTCATGTATTTGCACGTACACCTTCACAGATGCTATACACTCGAGTGTAAGCACAGAAATACACCAGCTTAGAGGCAACCACCCTCATCCCTGCTTTCCTGCACTGGTTTATGATTGTTGGTGTCGTTAGTTATTGTGCTGTTTACTTGTAGTTAATGTGTATATGCATAAATACACTCACCTTGCACATTAGCAGTACCAGGTTGGACCCCCTTTTGCATTCAGAAGTGCCTCAATCGTTCATAGCATAGATTCAATAAAGTGCTGGAAACATTCCTTAAAGACTTTGGCCCATATTGACATGACAGCGTCACACAGTTACTGCAGATTTGTCAGCCACTGTCATCTCACTGTCATGCTCATGAAAATAATTTGAGATGATTGGAGCTCTGTGGCATTAAGGTGTCCACCTGGAAGCAGCCATCAGAAGATGGGTACATGGTCGTCATTATGGTTTTGACATGGTCATCAACAATACGCAGGTAGCTGTGGCATTTAAACACTGCTCAGTTGATGCTAAGAGGCCCAGAGTATCAGAATCGTTATTAGTATTTCTTAATGCCTCCAGCCAAGCAAAGAATTTCATAAAGGTCCCAACTCCTTGTACGTGCAAAATAACCCCGAGTAAAAAAAGAGAAAGAAAAAAAAAAGCACATATTCAGAACTCTATCCCAAATATTTTTATTAAAACACCTCGATGAGGTATTTTGGGTTTGTGCAGCCACTCCTTCTCAGATCAAAGTAAAGAGTTTTTCTTCATTTTTTTAAGCTACTTTTACAACAGGTTTTCTCAATAGACTGAAAAACAGAAACCCTAAAAGAAAACTGCCTTGTTTTACGCACATCAAGAAGGAGTCAGACGACCGTCGGTTCATCCTGGTCAATTACCTCTGAGAGCTCGGGATGCTTCCTCCGTAGGATACCATAAACGTATGAGGAAAAAAAAAAAAACCCCAGAGAATTTATTATTTTGGTAAGAGTGAGAGAGAGAATCGATCAAGCTTTTCTACAAAACGTTATACCACTCCGGGTCAGGAGGGCGATATAGCACGGATGACTACGCTGGATGGAAGCGTAACCGGAAGCGTGGCAGGGACTTTCCCTTTGACCTTCATCCTGCTCCATGATCAGCCGTTAAATCTTTCCTCAATATTGCTGTAATGTAACAACAAAGGTAGTTTTTTAAGATCAGACAGGTCCCAAAACATTCTTACACACCCCCGCAGTCACTGAATTAGCATCTGTGGCACAAATAAGCTTCAGGGACCTACTTGTTTTTTAGAACTGACCTTTGACACTTGGATGTTGGCTTAATTTTTACCCAAAGAGAAATTTGGTGGTGAATACTTACCTCAACTTTGATGGGTTTTTTCACAGCTATTTATTTAGAAAAAAGGTAAACACGTTACAAGGACACAATGCACATTGCAGAGTACATGAATGGGAAGTAGGAATTCCTCCTCTCTGTACTTACACTCCTCCCTAACAAATGTCAAGGACACAGTTACACAATCGCTAAAGTAATCTGCTTTTGAATAAAAGAAAACCATATAAGCATGTGCCCTGGAATCTCGGTTGTTAAAAAAAAAAAAAAAGAAGCACTACACATTACTTTTCTTATGTTTAGTATACAGGAGTTGCTGCTCACACTCTGAGTTGCACTAATGTGTCTGTCAGATGTCCCAAATTGAATGTCAGGCCGCACGCGCACTCACGCCGGACACCTCCTTGACCTTATTTCCACAAGCCCTTGACTCAGCTGCAAAGTGCTTACGGGGTCAGTTTCATCAGAATTATCTGCCGTCATTCAGACATAAGTTGAGCAATAGTTTAACCAATTTCCATCAAAGGGATGCCAGAATTAAACAGAACATAGGATGTAAGTTAAGGAAATATAAGTCTGACTATGGAGCACATCTCCTTCGGCTTTCACAATAATGGATTGCATTTCTCTCAGTCAACTGACTGTTTAGGGGGAAAAGCAGCTACTAGTTAGTGGGCTCTGTGTTTGTGGTTGTTGTATGTTAATCACACTAGGAGTGAACAAAAGAAGCAAAAAACCCGGTAAAGATGCAGTCTGTGAAAGTCTGGTTTATACCAGAAATCTTACCAGCTGTAACTGGGGTTTTTTTAAGCACGTGTCAAGACTTCTGTCTCGCATTGCTGATGTGATCCTTCTTTTTTGTTCCCTATTAATGATCTACGGGAATTTGTGATATTGCCCCCATAAAATAATAAGGCTTTATTGAAATCATTGTGATACAGAGATTTGATTTCTTGTGCGTGCTTTGGATAAGAAAGTAATTCTGTCAAGACTGAATGTAGTTTACCAACTGCTCCTCAGTCCAAACTGACTTTATGGTTCATACGTGTCAACTCAGGGAACTCCTGCTGTGACCTCCTCTCTGTGAGCACACACACACACACACGCACACACACACGCAGAAGGAGAGAAACAGAAAGATCATTAATGCAGAGGATTGCAGCAGCTCTTGGATTTTCACTCTGTCGGATTTCAGAAGAACCGTCACATAAATTTCATTACAATTTTTTTTTTTGCCTTTGCTTCAATGTGTCTTTAAATCCTTTCTTGTTCAAATTGTTTATTCACATAGTAAAGAAGTAGCTCGGGAACTCAGTAAGTAGGAACAGCAGTAGTTTAAAGACATTTTCTACAATACAGAGGATTTCATCATCCGCAGTTTGTGAAAACTGCAGTTAAAAAACAAATCAGTAAATTCACAAATGATGGACTCTTTTCAGAGGTACGCTTCATGTACTGATTAACATACAGTTCAAAGATGTACATTAGGGTGCACACTGGTTATGTGGATTTGCTCAAGAGTCAGTTTGAGCTAAAAACTTGAAAAATATATATGTATATTTTAAATCAGTAACATAGATGAAATGTTTTTGGATAACAAACGAGTCACATTTTAAACACTGTTTGAATAATCAAAGACATATTTATAAAGGGCAGGCTACAACAGACATGCTTACCGGGAGCTGTATTGTCTCTTTTGCATAAGCCACACCAGAAACGCTCTGTGCGGATAGCAAAGTCTGCGCTGTGGGAGTGTCTGGACCCTCCACGCCAGGATCTGCCGCACAACCTCGCACTGGTCCTCAGGGGCCTAGCAAACTTGTAAGCCCTAGTTCAGCTCCCGAAAAATATGCTCGAGTTGTTCTTGTGTCCGACAAAAATTAGTTCTAATATGTTTTATTTTTAATGTTACTGCGTTGAAGTTAGCACAACTTAAATTGAAAAAATTATTAGTCTCTTAAATGAATGGCATCTTGACGGGGGACTCGGTGAATGGCTTAAAAAACGAATGCATTGTTTTACATCTTGTGCACTTGGGCACACTTCAATGAAACTCGAAAAGTGGGAAAAACAATATGGAGATGATGACTTGACATTTGTTAGGGAGGAGTGTAAGTACAGAGAGGAGGAATTCCTGCTTCCCATTCATGTACTCTGCAATGTGCATTGTGTCCTTGTAACGTGTTTACCTTTTTTCTAAATAAATAGCTGTGAAAAAACCCATCAAAGTTGAGGTAAGTATTCACCACAGTATCGTGTTTTTTTTATTAGGGTCAAATTTCTCTTTGGGTAAAAATTAAGCCAACATCCAAGTGTCAAAGGTCGGTTCTAAAAAACAAGTAGGTCCCTGAAGCTTATTTGTGCCACAGATGCTAATTCAGTGACTGCGGGGGTGTGTAAGGAATGTTTTGGGACCTGTCTGATCTTAAAAAACTACCTGTGTTGTTACATTACAGCAATATTGAGGAAAGATTTAACGGCTGATCATGGAGCAGGATGAAGGTCAAAGGGAAAGTCCCTGCCACGCTTCCGGTTACGCTTCCATCCGGCGTAGTCATCCGTGCTATATCGCCCCTCCTGACCCGGAGTGGTATAACGTTTTGTAGAAAAGTTTGATAGATTATCTCTCTCTCTCTCACTCTCTCTCACTCTCTCTCTCTCACTCTTACCAAAATAATAAATTCTCTAGGTTTTTTTTTTCTCATACGTTTATGGTATCCTACGGAGGAAGCATCCCGATCTCTCGGAGGTAATTGACTGGGATGAACCGACGGTCGTCTGACTCCTTCTTGATGTGCGTAAAACAAGGCAGTTTTCTTTTAGGGTTTCTGTTTTTCAGTCTATTGAGAAAACCTGTTGTAAAAGTAGCTTAAAAAAATGAAGAAAAACTCTTTACTTTGATCTGAGAAGGAGTGGCTGCACAAACCCAAAATACCTCATCGAGGTGTTTTAATAAAAATATTTGGGATAGAGTAATGAATATGTGCTTTTTAAATTTTTATTTTTTTATTTTTTTACTCGGGGAATTTTGCACGTACAAGGAGTTGAGGCCTTTATGAAATTCTTTGCTTGGCTAGAGGCATTAAGAAATGATTAGAGGGGTAGTTGACTCCTCCTTGATGTTTGTAAAAAAAGACCGTTTTCTTTTAGGATTTCTGTCTGCCGAGAGTTTCCAACTAATGAGAAAACCTAAAAAAAAAAAAGAAAAGAAAAGTCTTTCCCACACAATACCTCATCCGAGGGTGTTTTAATAAAATTATTTGGCGCCGATTTCTGAGTAAGGGCGCGGTGCTTTTTTCACTAAGGGTTATTTATCAGGGTTCGTACGGGTGCTTGAAATCCTTAAATGCTTGGATTTTAATGTTGTCTTTTCAAGGTTTGAAAAGTGCTTGAATTTCAGATGTTGTGCTTATAAGTGCTTGAAAGTGTAGCTGTATTTCATTCACCACAAATAAGTATCTGATTGAATAGTTTTCTTATCAGATATAAAAAGAAAATGAGTCGCAAAATGTAAAAGCAAAATTTCCCGGCCTGGGCTGCCTTGCGCCTCTGTTTCAACGTGTGACCCCGCCCCTCCTTCGGACAGTCGGGGATGAGTGCGCTAACATACCTGTAGGTTGCTGTTTTAATGAGTGTTTGATGGAAAAAGACAGTCGCATGATAGGTGAGTTCTAGTAAATAATTTTCCAGTAGGTGTACGTTACACATGCTACTTTTTAAAAAAAATTATGATTATTTTGCTACCTGTCAAACTCGCTGGAGCAATGATTGAAATGCACTGAGTGTGATGCAGTATGGCAGCGCTATTATGGAATATGCTGTGAACTTAGCTAACATTACTTAGCAGTAATATGAGTTACTTTGCTCAAGTGAAAGCTTTAAACATTAGCCCGATACGTAACTAGCCAACTTAAGGCTTTCTGATTAACCCTCTGGGGTCGACGGACCCAGTCTCCATTTTAACTTGGGTCGAACATGCGGACTTCAAACTATATACCAGTTTTTAAACTGTGTTGATAGGCCACATAAAACCGATGGGTTTTTTTCTGAATACAACAGTGCCGTTTACTCCGGGAAGAAACGGTTAAAACGGCGTTTTCTAAGGAGAGCGCAAGCAAACACACTTTGCTTGTGAGTGAAAAAAGAGAAAGAAAAAACACTCCTTCCCTATTGGTGGAAAAATGTACCATGTCGACCAATCAAAAAATGATATGGCAACATGTGGCATTTGTTTTTTTGGGAAGAGGGGGACGTTTTAGGAGTGAGAGAGAGCGAGTGAGCGAAAGAGAGAGAGAGTTTTGATACGCGAGAGATTTGTGACGTGTTTGGAGTCTCAAGTTAGTGTGTTGTCTTGTGTAGTTAGTGTGTAGTGTAGTCGTTGTTTTGTTTTGTGTGTCAGCTCTGAATGTCACAGTTGCTGCAAAAAAGCCACCAAAGGCAGATTGCAGTGTAAACGCTGAGTGACACACCTGCAGGTTTATCCTTCATTTGTGTTATAGTGGACACAAACTATTTTTTGGAGTCGCATAAATAATTTGTGTGTCTTCTTCTTTGATGCAGAACACCTGATTTTCCTGTAAATGGTTTTAAATGGATATTTAAAAAACGTCTGCGCCTTGGCTGCATTTTTAGGTAAATAGTACCATATAACTTTGTTTGCAAAACTTGTGCATATTTTTTTTTAAAAATGTACAATTTCTTTTTGCATTTCAAGTTATGAAAATGATTCGTTAAACATGCTTGTGGTTTTTACAGTCAAAAATATCACTTTCTACTGTATTTAAAATTTTGTCTGAATTTAGATAAATTGTGCTGATACAGTTTGTCAAAATAAGAAAATAACACATTGGCAAGATAAACAGTTTTTAAAGGTGAAATATAGAGAACAAATCAAAAGTAGTCAAAAACGGCCAATTATACCCTGGACCCCAGAGGGTTAAAGGCTAAAAGCAAAGTTGTCACCAAGTACTGTTTATATTTGTGTGTATTGCTGCAGCTTTTTAAAGTATTAGCTTGGTGCCTTGGTCCCTCAATGGTAATATGAGGGACTGATGCATATGGTCCCCACGAATAGCCACTTGTTTCTGTGCAACCAAAGTTCCCCGGCTTTCATTCAAAATGTGTTTCAGCACCTACACATGAAACTACTTTAACATTATAAATGTCTTCAAGCTCACACTGAGACAGTACACACATTTATGTGTATTTGTATATGAATATTTCATACTTTAAGCAATTTTGATAGGAAATTGCTTAATTTTAGAAATGTTTTTGCTCTTTTTTGCTCTATAAAATAGTTGTTTTATTTTAGAATCATTCATCTTAGCAGTAGGATATACATGAAAAGAGAAACAAATTAAGTTTGAGTGAAAATGTAAATTTTTTGCACTCACTGGTCAACTGACTCAGTGAATCAAATGACTCAAAAAACCCGATTCACTTTGGTGAGTGACTCATTAAAACTCGATTCAGTAAAAAGAATCAAATTTACCATCACTATCCCTCTGTGTATTTAAGCCCCGTGTTTTCCTTTGTCTGTGTCGTGATCTCCATAATCCCATGCTGTGTGTTTTGCCTGTCAGCCTGTTTGGTTTTTGTAGTTTTGAGTTTAGTTTTTTGGTTATGTTTGCAATAAATCTAAGTTTGAGTTCACATTTGCCTCCATAGGTCTGGACTTTGGGTCCTGCTATCCTGCCTGCACACAGCCTACACATGACAGAAAGTAAGTGAATACAGGAGATCTCTGGGGTGCAGTACTAATGTCATCTGCCAAAGAGTCATTCCCTGGTCAACCATAAGCCATGATTTAAGTATAAATCATTGACTTTTAAATGAATGACGACAGATGGGATGTACCACCGTGAGAGGGGTGCAGTGATTAGCGGAATTTAGGTGGGAAATAAATTTTTTTGGGGGACACTTCTTTGGGTGATTGGTGGAGAGGTTAAAGTAAATTTCTAGTTGAAGTATTCTTGCCATGTCACACACATTAGACACATATTTAAATTATTTTGTTTTCTAATAGGACGATAGATAAAATTAAGTCTTCACTTGTGCAGTTGAGACCGACAGAAGCCAGTTTTGACTGTTTGTCAGTGTTCCTTGCACTCTCTGTGGGCCACGACTGAATAAAAGGTTTACGCAGGGGTGACTCCCACAGTTTAGCCTTTCGACATATTCTAAATTCAGTGGATTGTTTATCATAGAATTAATATTTTCTGAATTCTATGTTTTGTTTTGAGTGCAAAAGTCATAAATAAAATTAAACAGCTACAAAACTCATTAAAAACACCAGACATCTTGTCTTATGATCGTGTTTTTTTATTATCATGTTATTTGATCCATAACAACAACAAATAAAAAGGAGAATTATAAATTCTCTTGAATTTCAGGCACTTTCACTTTCCACTTTATTTTTCCTTCCCGGGATTTTCTTCTTCTTTCTCTAAACTCTGAGCCTTTAGTTGCTCTTTGGCGTGATGAGGTGCACATTTTCAAGAAATTTATCTAGTCCCCAATTTCGTTTGTCCACGAGAGCATCCTCTGACTGCAGCAACTCTATACCACAGCTGCTCCCTGAATTTAAAGAAAGTAAAACAAAATAATACACAATTAAAAACGTTTCTAATTATCTGGAAAAAAGACCCCATATTTTGTAGTTATACACAAATCTGTCAGTTATCACTTGTATTTTGGTTAATATATAAAATGCTCAGCCATAATTATTTTTCATAGTACTCACCAAACAGACTATGCACCTGCTCACCAGGCACGAAAAAGGGAGGCCCTAAGAGATCAACAGATTTTAAAATATGGTATTTTATGTTTATTCTCTCTCTCTCTCTCTCTCTCTCTCTCTCTCTCTCTCTCTCTCTCTCACTCTCACTCACTCACACACACACACAATATAGAAATGATATAGAATACCTTGATATAAATCATGATTGTACAGTAAAGTGTCCAGGAGGTATCTGCAGTCATTCGCCATCAAAGAAATAATGAGAGCTGCATACCTACAAAATAAAAGAATAGCATTGGCATGGGACATCCGTGTATGGGTACATTATATAATACAGTATCAAACTGTGTAAAACATAATGTTTTGGAGTTTATTTAGTTTGAAATAAATGTCATTCTAAGGGTTTAAAATGAGGGTCTTCATCTCATCTTACTTTTCTCTGTCTCCTGGGTTGACGGCCACGAGAGAGGCCCTGTCCCAAATTGCTCCAAACTGACCCTCGATGGAACTGTGAAGTTAGAAAGGAACTCAATTTAACAGTAATTTTAATTATTTTATTTTAAAAAGCATAAAACAATATGTAGTTTACTCACTTGGAGAAGTTGTACAGGTTACACTGATACAGGGAGATGTTTTTCTCTGAGTTCTAAAAACAAAAGACAGCACGGATGAACAACTTGTGTCTGTTTTAAAGTAAGCAATATAACTTTCTTGTAGCTTGCAGCCATTCTGCCCAAAATCTCACTGAGATCAAAACGGTTTTCAGAAGAAAGAGCTGCTCACATGCACATAATAAACTCAAACATCACCATAAAAAACTCTATTCAGCGTAAAGACACTTAATTGCTGAGAAGCAATAACACTGACTACCTCAGCTTAGATCATTTAGTGGTCGTGTTTGCACACATGAAGTTCACCAACCTTGTAAACCTTTGCTCCAGGTATAGCAGGCACAGGCTCCTCGGTGTACATCATGTTGTTCTCCTCAAAAAACTGACGAATAGCCTTTTCAGAAATCTCCACTCCAACCACTGAATGGCCCATGTCTGCTAGCCTGGGAATCACGAAAAAACAAAAGGTTAGCAAAGATGACAACTGACACTAATACTGATCAACTTAATTTAATTTAGTAAGATGTTTTCATACCACTTCATATCTACTGCTTTCCCACACAGAGGGAAGAAGAAGCGAACTCCTGTTCGTCCATTGAGAGCTTTGTCAATGTTTTTCTTCAGCATTCTGTTAGAAAAACAGTATTAACAGCAAAATACACATTCCTGCTGCAATCTCATGTTGAGGTGATGTCTGGTGATGTCTGGATCAGCCGTATTGATGGTACTTGTCTTAAAAATAGATAATCTAAGCTCACTTTCTAAAGCTTTTAACAGGACACAGCTTTAGGTGGTGATGCACCTTTATAGTTGATGTAATCTTCACAAGTCTTACATGCATTTGGGCTACTTTTGCACCCTCACTCCACTGAACTACATAAAAAAGTGGGGCCATTACTTGTGCACTTCAGGCTGATGGAAGCCGATTTTGTTCTGTTGCCAACGTTCCTCCCATTCACCGAGGGCCATGACCCGATCTGCCTGCTGTTCCAGCATGCTGGTTATGTTTGCCTGACGATCAGCGGTTAAAGGAGAGCAGCTAGACATGAGAAAAAGAATTGTTTGTGAAAAAACCCCACTTCATGTCGCTGGAGACAGGAAGAGAATGCATAATCCGCACAGGATTATGGTCTTGCACATAAAGACACCTACAGCAACGGCAAAATGTAAGCACATGTGGTCCATGAGCTGTCACCTGCAGGGTTACAAAACCCAACCGATGGGTCATTTGAATCTTCTGGTAGAAAATCATCTGCATTAATCGTGGATCTGCACGAGCTTGTTGTCCCGTTATAAACTAAACTATGGCACGATGGCTATAACCAAACAAATGGTTTGAATAACAGCGTCGTTAAAGCGTCATTCTTAAGCGGAAATGAATAATTGTGTAATAGTTTATCCAATCCAATCCAATCCAATTTTATTTATAAAGCACTTTAAAATACCCAGCACAGGAACAAAGTGCTGTACAGAAAATAAGTTAAAACAATAGAATAACAAAAAACAGCAAATTAAATAAATAAAACACATAAGACATAAAATTAAAACAGCCCTATGTTAAAGCAAAAACAAGATAAAACAGCATCGAATCACCTAAAAACAACTAAAATAAAAATAAAAATATTTTTTATTATAATAGTTTATAACAATAACAATAACAATGTCAGATCCTCGCTTGCCTTGCAATAGCGCAGCATAAAAACAACCACAGTACTCGTGAAAAGACATTAGAACCGCACGTTTTCCGGTAAACTCAAAGAGTGTCTCTCCTGAATGAAGGCTGCTAATATTTGTTCAGCAACACAGCTGACCGGGCAAGCTCTCCGATCAATAAACGCAGCGAGGCTCTCCTGAATTCTTACCCCGAGTTCTGTCTGCAAGGCGAGGCGTTCCGTTGAGCTCTCGGTCAGCTGTCTCTCAGTGTTTATAAAGTGCGAGAAGCGGGTTTTATTTCTAGTTTTGGAGGAGCCTGATGATGCATTCATGGTACGTCAGAAAAATGTTACTCAGCATTCTGAGTAACAGTATCTCGAGTTCTTAAATCATTGCTCAAGATTAAGCAAAGGAATACAACAAAAGAAGATAATGTGAATGTTGTGTGTGTGTGTGATTAGAACTCTTGGCTAATTTGATGGTACCTTTTATGCAGATGTCTCTGGGTACGCAGGGTTTTTTCATAAAGGCTCGTCTCGTAAAATATTAGATTTTCAGACTACAGTAAACATTACTCTTTTTTCATATGAGAATATACATTTTACCTCCTTGTATTTTGAGATTTTATTATTCTCGTTTTTAATTAAATAACCTTGTGTTAAAATGCTATATAAACTCTATCTTCAGTTATGAGTTATATGCATACCAGAATTTGCTTTTCAAATTGCCCATGTATTCCTTTGCGATATAAATAATGCACTATTTCCATCATGGACCCCTCTGTTTCTTTCTCTTTTCTGTAAACGCTTGCTGCAATCACGATTCAAACTGTGGCAGCTGTCACTAATCCTCAGAAAGTCTCTGGACTGTTGCACAGTGATTAGTCTCGCTTGCCCAGCCTGCCTCTCTCCACGCTTGGGTTGGTACGGCTCCAGTGATACGATGTTGTCAGCAAGACAATAAGAATTCATAATAATAATAATGGATTGGATTTATATAGCGCTTTTCAAGGCACCCAAAGCGCTCTATTCACTCTCGCATTCACACACTTGTGGAGGCAGCTACAGTTGTAGCCACAGCTGCCCTGGGGTAGACTGACAGAAGCGAGGCTGCCATATCGCGCCATCGGCCCCTCTGGCCAACACCAGTAGGCGGTAGGGTAAAGTGTCTTGCCCAAGGACACAACGACCAGATCGAACCGGCGATCTTCCGGTTACAGATGCGCTTCCCAACCCCATGAGCCACGTTCGCCTGTCATAAGGAAGGACGGAAGGGAAAGGTGTTTTCCGGACGCACAGCGGCGCAAGTGTTTGAGAAATCCCGGTTTTACACTGAGGCGCTCTGGCATAGGTCTTTTTTCCGTAGTTTCTACTTCATTAAAAAAAATAAAAATACACACACTTCAAAAAAATAGGTACCCTGCTTGTGTCAAAATTTGATTGATGACCCTAGCCTTGACCTTTTGACCCTACCGGAAGTACTCCGGAAGTGACTAATCGAATCCTGATGTGTGTAATATGATCCATAAGCGCAACGAATTGCATCGGGTGATGGGAGGGGGGAAGTGTCTAATCGATTTCATATGTGTGACTAATCGTAAGGAGGGGTGGTTCCTGGGGGGGTCAGAGAGGGAGGGTTCAGGGGCATGGAGAGTTCAGGGGGGTGATGCAGCAGATTTCTGATGAGTCAGCGGAGATTGGAGCGCATGCTGCATAGAGACAGACAGAATGATCGCGGCAGTTAGTTTTTCACAGACAAACTCATAGTTTGAATTCTGTCTTAAATATTATGACAATGTGATCTTGATAACTATTTTCTCAGTAAAGAGCTATTTCTTTTTCCAATAGCGGCTTTATTTTACTTTCTCATATTACAGGCGCAATAAAATAAAAACCTTTAAGATTATCTGACTAGTAACGGAATGCATTTATATAGTGCGGGGTGGAGGCAAGCTACACCAGCGCTTGTAATGAAAAGAAGAAGTTTCTATCTGCTTGTAACCTGCAGGCTGGTCACCTCGTATGTGTAAAAAAAAAACATAAATCAGGGTTCATACGCCTTTTTCATGGTCAAATTCAAGCACTTTTAAGCACTTTCAAGGTCCCTTTTCAAGCTTTTCCTTGTTTAAAACATATCTATCTAAAATATAACAGGACACTGGCGTAAATTCTCGACCGTCTCACACTTCTGTTTAATCAGTTTTCTGTTTAACGTTTACTCAGCTGTGTAAAAATCCCGGAGGAACCCACCCGATGGATTAATAAAGTTTTATTTAATCTAATAATCTAATAACTTTGATCTCAGCCAAACCGATTTACTCCGGAACAAATAAAACACAGAAAAAAGGCAAACAATTACATTTTTATGGTATCCGAGTGACTTATATATCATGTTTAACCTGAGTAGCGAAAGAGCAGGGGTCTGAAAACGATGAAGCCGGGAGTCCGTTGCTCTCGCCGGCTGGAGTGACCATTGAACCCCCCGGCTAGCTATCGAGCGGGTGGGTAACAGACGTCTCCGAAAACGTCGGCACACTTTTGGAAATATACGATGTCTTGATAAACCAAGCAGATTTACACAGCTACTTTCTCGCCTGAAAATGTGTTAAAAGTTTATTTTGCGACCCAGAAAGATTAATAAGACTAATTTGAAAACTTAGCAGCGGCCGCCATTGTTGGCACCTGAAATTTGGCTGGGGTATGAATTCTGGGGTATGGTGGGCCACGAAGGACACACCCGACCCATCCTTCAAATTTGGGGAAATGAAGGACACATTTGTCGGCCGCATTTGAAGGAGTCGACGAATTGGGACAGCCTTCGTCGCCTGGCTGTGACGTAATCGGCCTTCAAATGCGGCCTCCGGAGGATGCAGCCGACGTTTTGGGACACAGCTGCTGATTCAGCACAGGAGGGAGGGGGTTAGTGAGTCCTGAGTGATTCATTCGCTCTATGATTCAGCACAGGAGGGAGGGAGTGAGCAAGGGGGTGAGTCTATATACGAAATAGGTATAACGTGTGCGTAACGTAAGTACGACATGGACGCCGGGATAGATTTTATTGTCAACCAACTGCAAGGGCCTGGGAAGGATCACGGTTATTGGTCAAGTGTTTTGTGCCCACAAATTAGCATTTCGTTCGCACGTTATTCCCATTTCATGCCCACGAAGTAGTATTTTGTGGCCACAATTTATTTATTTTTTGGACCATGTCATCAGAGGGGCTCCGTAGTTTCCCAAAAGCATGTAGGAAAATGTGTTATGGTCTGATGAAATCGAGGTTAAACTTTGTGGACATGATTCCAAAAGGCAGATTTGGCACAAAAATAACACTTTACATCACCAAAAAAACCCCCCAAACAAACACCATACCCATGGTGAATCATGGTGGTTTTCAGTATAATGCTTAGGGGTTTCTTTTCTTTAGCTGGAAGTGAGGCTTTAGTCAAGGTAAAGTGAGTAATGAACAGTTCCAAATCCCGGTCACTTTTGGCCCCAAAGGTGCCTGCTAGAAGGTTGAAGATGAAGAAGAATTTCACAACATTAACTTCAAGCATGCATCCAAATCAACAAAAGAATTGCTTCACTGGAAGGAAATTAAACTTTTGCAATTCCCCAGGCAGAGCCCAGACCTCACAATCTGACAAAATTGGAACACATTTGCAAGGAAGAGCGGGCAAATATTGCAGAGTCACAATACGCCATGCTGATAGACTTCTACCAAAGAAGTCTGAATGCTCTGAATTTGTTTAAGGGTGTACTTTTTTTTGTTTTGAAATAATTTATTGTGTCATCTAATATTTGACCTCTTGGTCAGATGTCTCTTGAAAAAGACAGTTTTACTATTAGTGGCATTTTTTTTTTTTTTTTTAATAAATGAAGGATATATAAAAATTCATTTTACCAAAAACTACCTTGATATTTATTTTATTATTATTTATTATATTTATTCATCATTCATGAGCGACATGTTCGACAGATTTAGGACTAAGAACTCATTTACAGTTTTGATAGTACAATCATTTTTTATTTATTTGCTTAGTTTTTGGCAGATGACCACTTTTTGGCACAAAACTGTGTACTCTACATACAGCTTTTTGGCTAACTGTGACTGCTCTGGCTTTAGCTGATTACTTACCAGTAGGATCAAATAGTCTTTGGTCGGGCTTTTTAACCTTGCATGCATTGTAAATACTCTCTAAAGGCACATGTGTATATGTAATCCTGTGCGGATCATCCATTCTCATCTCGTTGTCTAAGTGCTCTTCTTTATCCACTTGTGGTGGGAGTAAGGCAAACAGAACCAGCATGCTTGGCAAGCAGGCAGATCGGGTCATGGCCCTCAGTGAATGGGAAGAATACTGGCAACGGAACGAAATTGTTTTCCATCAGCCCCAAGTGCACAAGTAAAGACCCCACTTTTATCTACCTCAGTGGCGTAAGAAAGTAAAAACTGTGTCCCGAAATACTTTCAGAAAACTAGTCCAAACAAGTTGGACCCCAACCCAGCAGAGATTAAGGCCTCATTTTAAACTGATGCTGATGCTCCCAACAATCAGAAAAGGAAGGCAAGCTTATTGATACAGTTTGAGGTCAGCTGGAGCTATTTGGTTCAATTTTGGTTTTTGGAAAAAGGCAGGAATAAAGGAGCAGGCTTGGAGAAAAGTGAGTGAATATTGAAGGACCTGCTGGCAGGTTATGGAAATGTGTTACTGTAGCTTGATTCCAACGATCTGCAGTCTTCCCATTGGCTGCAAATATTTGTGTTTAAACAAGTAATGTGAGGTGAAACCTTATGCTTTGCTTTGCATTTGGTGTGAAAGTTCCATTAGGGAGGTTTAAAGTTATTTTTGAATCTGTTCATCTCTTAGGTCCTCCTTTTTTTTGTACCTGATGAGCAGTTACACAGTCTGTTTGGTGAGTACTATGAAAAATAATTATGGCTGAGCAGTTTTGCACACAATCATACAACCACTGCCTAGAAATTAACCAAAATACAAAATAGATATGTGCAGAATTTGTTAAATTTATGGGTCTTTTTTCCAGAAATTTCCTGATTTTTTTTTTTTTTTTTTTTTTTTTTTTTTTTTTAAATTTCAGGAAGCAGCTGTGACATAGAGTTGCTGCAGTCAATGGATGCCATGACAGACCTACAGCGACAGTGGTGGCTGGATAAATGTACTCAAAATGCGTACCTCATCACTCCGAAGAGCAGCTAAAGACTAGGATCCCAGTTTAAAGACCTTAAGAAAGCCGATCCTGGTGAAGGAAATCCTAGGGAGAAAAGTAAAGTGCTAAATTAGTTTTTTTCAGTTCCTGAAAGCTTTTAAAAACAATACTTTTAAAATAGAACAAAATGTTTATAACGCCTCAGTTGTTATACACTTTAAATGTTAATAAATTACTTATAAAACATTTACAAAATGTGTGAGGGTTTTTTTTTACGAGTTTGATAGCTGTTTTTGTTGTATTTTTTTATTAATTGCATTCTTTTAGGACATACTAAAAATAAAACCATATATAGAATGTAGGGGCCTGTAATGTTATGACAACCAATCAAGTGGTTTTAGAATACAGTTATACAGATCTGGTGTATTGCCACAAGTCAAAAGCTTAAATCCCAAGAGTCCTGTTGGATTTATAAGTAGTGCTAATTCCGACCAGTCCACATCTACAGCATCTGACGCTTTCAAATTTAATTGTGAGCCAATGGCCAGTTTTCAGGAGTCAACAATATAAATGATACTGGACTCTTTCCTGGCTCTGTCCATGTGCATTAATCTAATAACCTGGTGCAACTGTGATTCATCCTTTTTAATATAACTGATTTGAAAAGAAAAGGTGAGTGAAGAAGAAACTCTCAGTGCATTGTGAGTGGTCCCCAGCAGCTTAAGTCTATTGCAGTGAAACGAACGGAGGGTTCAAGCTCACCTGATCCAGCTCTTCTACAAGCTGGGAAAAAAAAAAAAGGGACGTTTTTAACTCGTTAAAAGTACAGAGGGTGAGTGTCCCAAATCCAAACTGGGAGTTAGTTCCACAGAGGAGGGGCCTTCTTCTATGGAACCATAAAAAAAGAAGAAAGACATTTGCTTTTTGTTATGCACTGTATGATTAATACTTCCAGATTTGTAAGCAAAGGTGTTCTTGGAAATAATGTCCCCATCTGATAAGAAAATATTTACCCTCAAACCGCAGCTGGTTTTTGGCTACACAGCGTCACTGTTTTGGTGTTATTTGCCTCACTGGTTTGTTTTATGAATCATTGGTACACCACAACATAAAGAAGGATGTGAATGTGGGACTAATAAAGGGTAACTTACATTGTGAAACTTTTCCATATGTTTTGGGTGAATAAATTGCTTCTAGCCATGATATCAATATATTTCCAAGTTTATTTACATCACTAAAAAAGAAAAATCTGATTATTTACCTTAAAAAGCTTCTCATTTTATGCAAGTCATTTGGCAAGTTTCAGACATCACAGTTTGGTTTCTCACGTGACAAAAGAGAAATTCTTTGTTTCAAGAAGTTGGACCAGTTATCAAAGGCATGTGAGCTAGAAGCTTTGACTATCTTTTCTTGCAGTGGATTTGCACAGTAGAAGATGCAGATTACTGCATCTGCAGTAATCTAACCTAATCAGCTCTGACTAACTACTGATTCTTTTGTTTGTGATCACTCACCCTTAGATAGCTGCAGCTAGGTCTGGTTTTGTAACATCATGTGTTCTCAGCCCTGTCTCCAGATATGAATGTTAAAGTTTCTCGCTAAAGTTCTCATTATATCATTGGTCTTAGTTCAAACTGCCTTTTGTATGCAAGGAGGGGTCATAGGAATGACTGTAGCCATGTCGGTATGCTTTGCCCCACCTGGAGCCTCATTTATCAGACGGACTACCGATGAATTTTGATAGCATACACGAGAAGTAGACAACTTTGCATGAACTTTCCTAACAAAGTGATAGGAATTATCAGCTAAAGATATGAGAAAATGCTCGCCAGTCATGTCATATCATAAAGAAAAAACCACAAGTAATAACCGCTGCTGTTCGTGCTTTGCTGAAAGGCATTAAACACTTTCTCAGACCTGAAATGACCTTTTTTATTCATATACAAAAATTGTTTTTTGGGTTTTTACCCCCTCTCAGTACAATGGTTTTTCTCAGTAAACCCTTATTTAACCTGATACTATACTATATGAGGTGAAATAGCAAAACACGTGCAATCAGAATATGCATAAGCAAAATTTACTTAATGCTAAATTCTGTAAAGCAACCAGAAACAAAACATTAGGAGAGATTTTAATCTTACATTCAAGTAGCTGTGATACATACATCAGTGGATGACCCAACAAAAAGCAAGACTGGGGTTGGACTTCTTGGACACTCCAAAGAGTGATTCAAGCTTATGAGATTCGAGTGCTCAGGAAAGCAGATACTGGGTAAACACACAAGCGCTTAGCCAGAAAAAAGAATTAAAATAGAAAATGGATATTCCAGAATGATTACAAAACACTCCGCATATCCTTCTCTCTCTCTCTCTCTTTTTTTTTTAACTTTTTGCACTATATACTATAGTACACACATTAATGCTTGACTTTTGAAAGATGTCAAAAAATGTACTGACTCTTTAGACCCCTGCAGTATATCTAAACACAACAGCAACTTGTATGTTCATTTTAAATATGTTTTGACTCCTTTTTTAATTGCAATAAACTGTGACTATCGGGGATTTAATGGGTAACGGGGTTTATTTTACGGGCCAAATAACGTTGTAGTAACATAAATCCTAACAGCATCATCGGGGAGAAAAAGTGATGTGTAAAACACTATGAACACCATTAGCACAAGGATATAATCTACTGATGGCCTTATGGGGTTATGTTGTACGATTAAAATGCTTCTGCACGCGTATTAATCCAAGTTTGTTTGTTTTTGTGCTTTTACAGCACTCCGGTCAGCTAATTGAAATCCGCATCTGAAGGCTCTGATTGCCTCTGACCAGCTTTTTCGCCATTGGCTGTTGCCTGGATACCGTGGCTAACATTAGCAAACAACAAACAGGAAGGAGCATAACGGAGTGAAAGCTTTCTGGGAAATTTGTGTTATAAAAATGACAAAATATTTAAAGGATTCCAAAAATGTAAGTTACGACGAATAAATGGGAGAATTCTTAAACTTTTGGACATTTTTGTAACAAAAAAGTGTGGGGGGGATATCAAATGTTATTTTTCTGCCGGTAAATATTACCGCGCGGTGTCTGGGCTGCTCCCTTTTCGTCGTTAACCTTGAAATGCCAGACTCGAAACTCGCCGTGTGTACTTTTCAGGTGAACATTTCCCCTTTAGGCCGCTGGGTTTGGAATGATAAATCTAAAAAGCTGGAGTTTATCAGGTGAGGAAAGCAAGGCAATAAGCCACTAGTATACATCACCTGCGAGCAGGAGAAACTGTTAAATATCACAATGGTAAGCTTTTCTCTTCCGTTTCTAGTTCTTACCCAAGAGAAGAGAATGTTTTGACGGCGAGTCTAACCAATAACAACATTAAAGAGCTTCAGGAGCGAGCAGAGTGGTATGTGTGGGTCAAACAGTACCTTAAACTTGAAAATAAAAAGACTCTTCATTTGTTTATTTATTTTTAAGTAATTCGTGATGTTTAGGGAACTAACCTGCACATGTTCATCTCTGCTGTGTCCTCAGGTTGGCTGACATATTTACAATGAACCACAGAGGGCGCCAAAGGATTAGGAGCAGACTGAGCCCTGCTCATTTCAATGCGTACAGGTCCTCAGTGCTGAAGAGACAAGCGGACCGGGTCACCATTGAGGATGTTAAACGCAAGTCCCACTATGATGCTGAACTAACAACACTTATATTGTGTGATTTGAGGGTCATTATACAATTGGAGGACAATTAAGGGTTCAAAACTTACATTAAAAAAAAGACTTTTACAAATATTTTTGTGTTATGTATTTAAGAAAAACAAATAATAAACCGTTTGTGAAGCTAAGGAATCAGAGCTACCCTTTTTCTGAGATATTTTAGTTGCTGTGTGCTAATGCTTGACACAACCCTTAAGCTGCAGGAAAAAAATCCATCAGAGAAATTGCTACAATATTAGGAGTGGCAAAATTTACAGTTTGGTATATCCTGAGAAAGAACAAAAGCACTGGTGAACTGGTGCAACGCAAAAAGAGCTGGACGTCCACAGAAGACAACAGTGGTGGATGATCACAGAATTATTTCCATGGTGATGAGAAACCCCTTCACAACAGCCAACCAAGTGAACAACACTCTGTAGGAGGTAGGCGTATCAATATCCAAGTTTACCATAAAGAGAAGACTGCATGAAAGTAGATACAGAGGGTTCACTGCAAAGTGCAAACCACTCATAAGCCTCAAGAATAGAAAGGCTAGATTGCACTTTGCTAAAAACCATTTAAAACCACCAGCAAAGTTCTGGAAAAACATTCTTTAGACAGATGAAACCAAGATCAACCTCTACCAGAATGATGGCAAGAAAAAAGTATGGCGCAGGCGCGAAACAGCTCATGGTCTAAAGTCTATCACATTATCTGTAAAACATGGCGAAGGCAGTGTGATGGCTTGGGCGTGCGTGGCTACCCGTGGCACCGGGACACTAGTGTTTGTTGATGATGTGACACAGGACAGAAGCAGCTGAATGAATTTTGAGGTGTTTAGAGACATTGTCTGCTCAAATCCAAATAAATTGAGAAATTGATAGGGTGGCATTTCATAATACAGATGGACAATGGCCCAAAACATACAACCAAAGCAACCCAGGAGTTTATTAAAGCAAAGAAGTGGAATATTCTTGAATGGCCAGTTCAATCACCTGATCTTAACCCGACTGAGCATGCATTTCACTTGTTGAAGACTAATCTTTGAACTGAAAGGCCCACAAACAAACAGCAACTGAAAGCTGCTGCAGTAAAGGCCCAAAAATGAGGAAACCCAGCATCTGGTGATGTCCATGAGTTCGGATTTTCAACCAAGTATTAGAAATGAACATTTTATTTTGAGTTATTTCATTTGTCAAATTACTTTTGAGACCCTGAAATGAAGCGATTGTGTTAAAATGCTTTAGTTTCTCTAGTTTCTCACAATTCTATGTAATCTAAAAGTCTGCACTTCAACTGAATCTGAGTTGTTTCATTTAACCAGAATTGTTAACCAAAAAAAATTGTCTCTGTCCAAATATTTATTGGCCTAACTGTATGTGCACATTTTTCTACCAATTGCTTTTAAACTCAGACCAGACTTCACATAAAATGTCAAACAATGACTCATTTAGTTAGATGTTGATATTTTTACATCTACTGACATTAGATGGCTGTTTGTGATTACACTTTCTGTGTTGTAGAGGTGGCTGTCGGTTTGCTACAGGAGAATTATTTGCTTCCCGTTCCTCTCCGCTTTCTGGAGTTATTGAAGTAATGAATTACATAATATGACCTTATCCATTCATAACTTTTTTTTCTAGGTATCATATAAAAAAGATCTCATACTTCTGTGCCCTTGTCTTGATGCAGGAGTGACGAGCTCGATGAAGTCCTCATTACACTTCTTCTTTACCTGTCTTGCTTTTTCATACATAAGACCCTGAAGAATAAATCTGTGCATACAGCAGTGTAAGTAGAGTACAAGCTGGTAAATTCTACCTTTGTTTGAATCCTGTTGTATTTTACTTACATGCATCTGTGTTTAATTCCATTTCGTGTCTCTTACCGCTCTCTTTTTTTCCTCTTCGGCTCCTTAATGCCATTAATGGTGATAGCCTGTCAGAGCACCAGATGATGGTGGAGGCTTGGGCTAAAAAGGAGATGGCTCAAAAGAAGTTGGCTGTCTGCTACTTCCGCCTGATGATGGATCTGAAAAGAGAACATCATTGCCCATATCACAAGTGAGCAAACTCACTGAACAGCTGGTAGGCAGAGAATGTCCCCTTTTCTCTGTAATATTTTCACTCCGATGTTGTATACTTGTTATGTATACAGATGTATTACTTATGATACTTGAACAAAAATACTTACTGAGTAGCAATAGTGAGACTTTCTTAAAGAGGTCTAAGGAAGCCACTGAATATTATTTAGCTGAGATTATATTTACATCACTAAGTGCAGCATTTAAAAATGTTTTTATTTTTTGCTTTCCATTTTTCTTGTCGTTTGTTATCAGCAGTGTGGCTGATCAAGATTCCTGAAGCCTCAGTAATGAAAAAGAAATTGTAGCCTCTTTTAATTCTAAGGGCTTAGATGTCAGATTATATACGTTATTATGTAAATTCAATCTCAGGTTTATAACAACATGTGTCATTATTTATTTTACATAAACTAAACCCAAAATGCAGAAGCAATGTGTAAAAAATGAAGTACAACATTAGTGCTTCCAAAGGAATTAAGAGGGTAAGTAGCAGTCAAGTGCTGCTAATCGCTTGATTACTTGATCATCAGCAAGTGTGACCACCTTGTTAAAAGCCCACATTTTGGCAGTTTGCTAATCTGTAGTAACACAATGCCAGTGATGAAAGACATCAGTCATGATCTTAGAGGAAAAGAGTTAAGCCATTTCCAAACCATTTAATGTACATCATTCTACAATGAGAAAGATTATTCACAAGGAGATAACATCCAAGACAGCTGCCAATCTTTCCATTTTTGGATGTTTCAGAAAATTCACCTCAAGCGCAGACTGTGCAATTCTCAGAGGAACTGTCAGAAACCCAAGAGCTACATATTAGACCAGGGGTGGTCAACTCCAGGGCTCGAGGGCTGTTGTCCTGCAGGTTTTAGATGTTACCCTGGGTCAACACAGGTCAATCACATGATTAGTTCGTTACCAAGCCTCAGGAGAACTTCAGGACATGTTGAGGAAGTCATTTAGCCATTTGAATTTTCCATTGTACATATATTGTGCTTGGAAGACACAGGAGTAAAGAGTCTTTAAACCCTCGTGCTACCCTAGGGAAAAACGGGACCATTTATGGTACTTTTGGATTTTCGATTTTAAATATATCAGTCATTTTAAAGACCAGTTGCATGATACTTGCCCAGGATGTGAATTTTAGGATTATTTTTAAAATTCAATGATCCCCTCTATGGTGTGGTGTATAGTAAAGGAGATTCACATATTTACCCCCTCCCTTTGCCCTTGTACCATTTTGGGTCCCATTGACAACCATTATAATCACATATTTTCGATATATTGTAATCCTGACATGTGATACAATACAGAAAAAGTGAGACACTTTATAAAACATAAAATCAGAATGTAATGAATCTCGTCAATTTTTATTTACATTTTACACACCGTCTCGCTTTTTGGAATTGGGTTTGGGAGGAAGGAGTTGAAAAATATGAACTCTGGTTTTACTTTGCTCAGAGAGCCCATATCCACATGCTTTCTTCCTTTAATTGGATTCAGGTAATAGGTATATTTTAAAGAACGCTAACACCTTGATGCTAGATTTTTTTATGTATTCTTTCTGAAGATTTTAAAGGTTTCTTTGGATTTCTTTTCCAGTTTTTATGCTTACATTTTATCACAGATTGGCATGGTGTTGAATACTGTTCTTTGTGGTCATGTCTTTAAAAGGGTTTAATCAGCAAAATGGTACCTGCTGTTTAAGTACAGCAAATAATAGTTTTTTAAATGTGGCCAGACAGCTCACAAATCCTAAACCAAAAAGTTAGGCTCTATGCTGAAATCATTATGTCATTCATAGTCAGTCAATACCAGTGTGTTGTTAATACAAATATCCTGTGTTTATTTCTAGGAGGCAGATATCGTCAAATAGAAGAGAGTGGCTTCTTCATGCGGTAAGGTGCAATCATGACAATGTGCTGCACATGTTTCTCACATTCAAAGCTTACGGATCACCCAGATTGATATATTTTTAATGAGTGTTAGGAACTTCCCTATGTCAGTTGTCTAACTTGTTGAAATCTGATGAATTTGGCTGGATGTTCTTGAAAGATTCAAAACTGTATTGTCACACCTGTAGACAAAAATGGGTCCTTCAGCTGGTCAGGGTCGAGGCCAGTTCACCATCTGTGATTGCAGGCAGCGGGGAGCAGAGCAGAACCACACTGAGTGGTGTTTTAGCTGGTGTCCTTAATGAATTAGTTACTGGTAGGGGATGTTGATTCAACACAGGTGCTTTGCTTTGACAGGTCCTCACTGGTATTTAGCCAGGTGGCTTGACAAGGAGAGCAATGCCACGCTAACAGCAGCAGCCTATTGACTGCTCAGTGTGTGACCTTTTGAACAGAAATAGCTATTGTGACCTTTTCAAAAACACAGATGACTAAGGTGCCACCTGGGGCTTTGCTCTGCGAGTAGGGATACTAAATGTTTGTTCTGTGAATACATGGACAAAATGTACGAATGTCCGCTTGATAAAGAACTGATTCGGTCTCCCTTTTTCTAGTGCTTGTACAGCTTCTTCTGCTACGTGGCCTGGGTGACGTTTGGCAGGAGGGACCTGAAGGACATCCAAGAGGAGGTTGGACGTCTTTTGTACTCTGACTCGTTCAACATGGCAGTGAAGAATATGACTGACGGCGACTCGGGAACTACCAGTAATGGTTCAGTGGAGACAGGAGCAGCTCACTCCAAGATGAGACATAATAGTCCACTAAAACAAAGGTATATAAATGTGAAGTAAAGGTTGTTTTGAGGTGTTACTACAGACTCCTCTGCATATTTGTATTTAACAGGTATTTAAAATGCCTTTGAGTAGACAAAAGTGTGGTAAAGTTATGCTCCTGATCACAGTCCTACTACTGTGACGTTACCATTCCATATTTATTGTTTTCACCCACATGCCAGTCAGAAAAGGTTATAAAGCAGCACATGCAATGGCCTTGGTGTATAATTACAGCATTGCTGAGGTTTTCCCATTGATGCCGGCATTTTTACAAGCAATTCTTTAAATATTTACAAATGGTGAAAAGCAATCATGACTAGAGGGTAAGGTGGAAAGAAATTGTAGGTAAAAGGAGATCGTTATTCTGCTTTAGCTTGTTCCTAAATTCACTCTTTTAAAGTTTATTCCAGTGGATGCTTAGAAACAGACCAAACATCCAGGTTACCATTTCTGTTCATCTACATTGCAGAAATTGGTGTATTCACTCAGACCACCTGAGTGAACAGGGATGAATTAGAAATGGAAGGATGTCAAAAATTCCCAGACACACTCCTAAACCTTGTGGAAAGCATTCCCAGAGATTTGAAGCTGTTATAGCTGCAAAGGGTCGACCTCATATTAAACCCTATGAGTTAAGAATGAGACGTCACTCAAGTTCATGTGTGTGAAGCAGATGAGAGAATACTTTTGGCAATATAGTGCATCCCATGAAATCAGTTTCCAGATTTGCTATTTGGAAATTAGCGCCTAAACACTTATTGATTTTTAGTTTAACCATTAGTACGTGTAACCAGTCTTAACCTGGATCACCACATTACACTGCAAACAAGCTAATAGCTCGGACAATAAATTTGAGTTTGATGGATGCCATGTATGACGTCTAACTGAAAAATGATTGATGTAGACAGATTCACGGCTTTGTCCAATAGGAGGGGACCATCTGACAGCCTGCTTTGTGTAGCTCAGTTCTGTTGGACATGAAATGGGTAGTTTTGTAAGCTGTCAGAGGGCTGGAGCTCTTTCCTGCTGTCAGGTTGAAAGCAAACAATCAAAAGCCAGGCTTGAAGCTTGCTCTCCTCCTGAGGGTGGATGTACACAATTTGAAATGCCTTCATCACCCACAGAAAATGCTCTAAAACATCTGTTAGGCCAGCGGTCTCCAACCTTTTTTGCACCACGGACCGGTTTATGCCCGACAATATTTTCACGGACCGGCCTTTAAGGTGTTGCGGATAAATACAACAAAATAAAACTAGTACCGGTACCAAAAAAAAGAAAATTTATTCATAACACACGTGAAAAGACCCAGGAAAACCGAGTAAACGATAAAAACGATAACAAAATAACGCTGAAAACCGATAAAAACCCTGAAAACCATACATTTCACACCTGAGCCTCAACTCTCGCGGCCCGGTACCAAACGACTCACGTACCGGTCCGAGGCCCGGGGGTTGGAGACCGCTGTGTTAGGCTATGTATTTGTTGTATTTTTTTTTCTTTAGTATCAGCATCTGGATCTGGAAAGTCTTACTACCATAACAGCTTTTCTGATTAACCACGTCAGGATATGTATTTAAGTTTCCACCATAAAGATCATAGGTATGACAAATTAGTACGAAATGTGTCTTTTTCCATAATTTACACAGCTGTTGTGTAAATTATGTTGCTTGGATGAGCTTTCATTTAGACAAATATTCATTATGGCTTTAGTGTTGTAAAATATGTAAACAGCTCCAGAGTTTGCCTTTCTGCTGTAAGCTGTGTAAAATGTATTTGAGAGAAATGTGTCCACACTGCTGTATGACACACACAATCCTTCTCCTTAAATATACCCTTTTTACACTTGCATATTTCCCTTGGGGGTTTAAATATAGAATGTTTATTTATTCATTTATTTAAAATGCTCACCTGTTCTGTGATTTGGCTTTTTATCAGCACATCCCAAAGGCACCCACTCCTCAGCAGCATAGTAAATCAGCGATCCCCTCTGATGGTGTCTCTGCTGCCCTCGCCCAAAGAACAGTCACCCCATCTGTTCCTGGGCAGCCGAGCCAGGAATCAGATCCCTCTGAAGGCCGAGTACTGTGACACCAAAGCCCTCATGGAGCAGCTCGACCAGCAGCTGGCCTCTGTCAGGTGATACAGAACTTCATGTCCTTTGTGTTTTACTATGATGAGGGGCAAGATGGGTTGGTTTGACTACAGGCGTATCACAAACAATGGTCAAGGCTGTGTGACAGAACATGAATGAGGCTTATGGCAAGCTTGTTAAAAGTCACCCAGAAGACAAAGAGACGAGTGCTTCTGTCAGTGTTTCTTAAGTTTAACCTCTGTTTTGATCCAGCTTATCTGATACCTACTTCTCCTCCTTACCTATTAGCAGGAGCTTACCTACTGCAAAAAAAAACTGCCTTTGGTTGTATAAATAGTAGGGAGATGATGACTGTGTTCTGCATTTTGAGTCTGATCTGGTTAAATTAAGTGTACTTAGTTAAAAATTAAGTACACTCCATGACTCAGTAACTTTTAACAGTAACAAAAAGCAATAACTTATAATTTAAATTTTACCATTCTTTCACATCACTGTTGAGGAATTCTGGCCCATTCTTCTTCTTTCTTGTTTATGCACTGCTCTCTAATGGCCCTGGCACAGCAGGTTCAGGTCTTGACTTTTAATAGGCCATTGCAACGCCTTCATTATTGTCTTTTTCAGCCGTCTTGTTGTAGATTATTGCTTGAGATTATTGTCCTGTTGCATGACCCAGTTTCAGTCAGACAGCTGTCGGCCTCACATTTGACTCCAGAATACTTTGGCATACAGAGGGGTTCACGGTTGACTCAATGACTGGATGGTGTCCAGGTCCTGGCCACCCTCCAGGATGGGTGCAAAACAAGTCCAGATCAACAACCCTCCACCACTGTGCTTGACAGTTGGTGTGAAGTGCTTGTGCTGATATGCTTTCATCAAATGTGGTGCAACTGACTATGGCCACACATCTCCACTTTGGTCTTGTCTGTCCAAAGGATATTGTTCCAGAACTCCAATGGTTTGAGCAGGACAACCTAAGCTTTGCTGCTGTTCCTTTTAGAGAAAATTGTTGTTTTTTTCCTAGCAACCTTTCCAAACAAGCAAACAATTGCACAGTTATGATCTTTAACATTTAACATGCCAACAGAGGTATGTAGAGTCTGAGATGTAGCTCTTGTTTCTCTGAGCGTTACAGTCTGACCTTGGCGTAAAGTTGCTGGGATGTAGTGAGTAATCTTTCTCACTGTATAATGATGGACTCCAGATTGTTTGGACAATGAGCTTAGAAAAAAAGTGGTTTATCTAAGATTATTGCTGATGCCTTCCTCCTAAGGATTGTCTTAAACTAACAAAACGTCTGCTTTTACAGAGGGTCGCACTTGATCAGTTAATCAAGTCTATTAGATTAGCACCACCTGGCTGCTTCTGACCCTCGTAATTCTAATGTAAGCAGTGAGGATGTTCTTAGTTTTTCATAGGGCTGCTTACAGTCCTGTGAAGACTCTTTTTTCGACTGTAACTGACTGACTGAAATGCAGGATGAAAATATTTTTTAAAAATGTAAAAAGGAAACCTGTAATCTTTAGGGCCATCTAATTACGTTTTGTATTTGATCTAAAATGTGGAATAATTCATAGATTTTAATTATACAAATGATGTTCCTTTTTTGTTATAAGTTATAGATAATATTTCCTCCAAGATATCACTACTGTTTTTTATTTTTTTTTTAAATCTTTCTTTCATTTAATCAGGTTTGGGATTCTTGGGAAGCCCTTGGATCGATTCAGCCACAGTACGCTGATACCCTATGGACAACAGAAATATTTCATGAGGATAAGGACAAGGAAGTAGACAGTGATGGTAATAACAGTGCAGATCATTCTGGAATCTGTGCTCAAGGTACCGAGTTGTCCTTCGTAGGACACAAGTGGCGGCCTTTTCAGACATGGAAGCGCCATCCACATAAAGATTAAAAACTGCACACTGTAAACGTTGCATATTGAATGACTTGCATGTGAATGTGTGTACTCTCAGTGGCCTAACATCTATTTGCACATCACACAGGTAAAGAAAAGGCAAAGAATGAGGTAGAAGCTGAGATTTCAGTCTTTCATGTGTGGCTCATTTTCAAAAATCATATTCCTGGACTGTTATCATACATGCTATTTGTTGGGATATGCCTCTGAATATAAATCTGTTTAGTGCTTCCAGCTGGTGGTGCTGTTGAATAAAATATAATGAAATCCATAACACTTTTGAAGGTCTCCTTTCTATAGAATATGAAATATATTCAGTTCACATAGAAAAATAAAGCAAGTCGACCTCAGCGTGTTCATAATTCAAACTGGGCGATATGTAAAATTATGCATGCTCCACACCAAGATTTTTTTATTTATTTTAGGTCTTTGAAGGCTTTCCTTCAGTTGACTTTGTCATTTATGGGTCCTTGTGCTGTTGGAAACAAGACTCACAATCATGTGAACTAGTGCCACACACACACACTCACACACCATCCTAGCCAGGCTTGGAAGCAGAAGGGGCTTTGCCTTTGCCCTAATTGGCTGTGTAATCTGGGACACCAGGAGTAGACTTAAGCCCTGTGAGGATAGGAAAGAGAGCCTGGGAAGCATTAGGACGGGGGATGGGTCGCAGGATATAGTTTTAATTTCAAAAATTTTGAAGTGTATTTGATTTCTGCCCAAGTGCCTTTTTCTTGCTTGTTTTTATTCAGGTCACAGAGGATGAATGATCTGAAGACAGGCACAGGGAAAACTGTAAAGGTCACATGCTACTCTTGTTCTTCTTTGGCTACCGTCTTTCCCCCCTGATGATTAATATCACTTTCCCTCTCTGTCTCCTCCCTTGTTCCTTTTGCCTTCCTCCTCCTCTAGATCGGTGTGGCTAATAACAGGCAAACTGACAGATACTTGACAGGGTGAAACCTGTCTTGTCTGTTAATGCTTCTTGCTCACTGGCCTGGATTAATAATCAGAGGTGTTAAACTGGCTCGGGAGTACTGACAACAACTTAAGTTAAACTAAAAAGGCTGTTCATCAAAATGTAATCTGAGGAATATTTTTACTTTGTGTGTAAAATTTGCTGTTTAATGACAGTCAAACTATTTGGAGATAAAACAAGTAAAGGTTTTTCATTAACATTTCTGATATAAAGAATTAAATCCCAGTATGCTTCATGATGCTTTTCTCTTTAGAAAAGCATAATAAAGCCTAATTTAGTTCATGTAAACCATCACATGACCATTCCTAGAATTTAATTGTGCCCCTGAAACCTAAAGCCAATTTTCCAAAACACAAGGAAAAAAAGAATAATTAATCTACTGACTGTACACTCTCAACTCAGCACAGGGTAGTGAAATTAATTTTAATTCCATGCAAACAGCTGGAAATAGTTTGGTTTTAAATGACACTTCCTTCCACAAAATATTCTGGTGAATTATTTATGTTAGTGAGCAATATGGAGGAAATGGTGCTTATGTTACTGCAAAAGTACAAAACCATCTTCTTTCTACCTTGATTTTCCTTCAGCAACTTCTCCCAACCCCTCAAAAAAAGAAGGGGTGATTGCTTGCAACTTTCTTTCATGCACCAACAAGCAGAGTGCCACTTGTGTCAGGTGGAAAGTGGAACAGCGTGTTGAAGCTCTCCATCTCAAAGGCTTCTTTTTGATATGCTCCAGCTCTGATTTTTACCACCCTTTGTACAAAAGTGTCTGCCACTGATTGAAATGTAATTAAAACATACCACATTTGTCTAATAGCCTTTCAATAACGCTCAGGGAATCTTTCAAAGAAAGGTTTCCTTGGAATTTAGTTTTGTGCCCGTGCTTTGTGCCTCAAATGGCATTTTATTTCAGTATTTTATTTTGTTTTAATAAGATTAGATGAGGGAGGAAAAAGCACTTAGTCTTGTGAATCTGAAGATGTCAGGATGTGTGTGTGTTGCCTCAGAGGCATGAGCTGATGATTTGCAAACATGAAGAATTCACTAGAAAAAACACAACCAGTGATGGTGCAATACTCTACCAAGAACTACCTAACACTTAAAGACTTACCAGAACCAGGAACCACTCGACATACTTAATAAATCTGCGAACAAAGAAGAAAAAAGGTGCAATGAAGGTGAAAGCAAACGTAGTTTTTCTGAATCAGAAGTTAAATGTTCAGCCTTGGTTTTCATCACAAACTGCAGAACTGCAGATTTAAGCCTCTAGAGAAAGTTGTCAACTTATACCAACAGGGGGAGACTTTGCCCATAGCATTATTTCCACCCATATTGTGAGCGTGTTTCTAACGGGGTGCTTTGCGCTTTATTCACATAAAGCCTGTTTACTGATACAAAAATACAGCTGCAGAAGCTAATCAAACGCGTTGGTAGAAATGCTGCACGACAAACTCGAGGTTTGATTGTAAATTGGCGCAGTTGCTGAATTAAACTGTGTAATCCTCATTACGGTGCAATTAAGGATTGTTACGCAGACAAGGAGATAAATGGCTCATTTAGCCGAGCCTTTTTATCCTCGTGCAGAATTGTTATCCGACCTCCCGGGTTGAAATAATAGACAATAGTAAACTAATTAAAATAAAGACTTACTGTACACCAATAAAACTACACGAGCGATTTGTTGTGAGTGTCGTTACTGCCTTGTTTTTGGTCGCTCGCTCGCAAGTTCTCTCTGCGTCTCGCGGTGACTCGGTCGAAAGGAGCGCACGCACTCACCGGAGCGCCGGTAGCGACGTGCTCGCGCTTCTACACTTTGCCCCTTTCTTATTTTGAGCGAGCGCTCGCGCGGAGGGAGAGAGAGCGAGCGAGGTGTCTCGTGCAGATTCCATTGACACACACCGGAGCGCGGAGGACCTCGCTGTTAAACCGTGCGCATTTGTACGGTTACATACATTTAGTCAGATTTTACACAGCAGAAAAAAGAGAGAAAGAAAAAAAAGAAGTGCCCGGGGTGAGGGGAGGAGGAATAATCAAAACGCAACACGTATCCGGTGGGATCCCACTCCTGAGAGAGAGAGAGAGAGAGAGAGAAGCGGCAGGAGTTGGGTGCAAGAAAAACGAGAGGGAGAAAGAAGAAGAGTGGGGAAACATTTGACATTTCGTTTGCCACAACGCGTTTTTAACTCTCACAGAGGAATTATGAGGAACGTTTGGATAATTTTCACCCTCGGGCTGGTTGTTTTCCTCGCCGGGGAAACGGTAAGTTTTTTTGGGGGGGGGTTGGAAAGCAAACTTAAACTACTGAGCATTGAGTTGGGCTGTGAAGGGGGGCGAGGAAGGCGACTTGGGTCCACGTAGAGACAACTCGCTGCTGTTTGTAGCTGTTAGAGGAATCCCGTCAAAGCATTATTTTTTTTTCCAAGCAAAAAAAAAAAGTCTTTAATTTCACGGCAAATAACGAGAAGGGTTCTCTAGAATGATAAATCGTTGTCAGCTAATCTATCCAGCTACAATAAAGGTACTGCTGCCCCTGTGCTCAAGTATTCACTTCTTTTAGATTTAAACCTGCCTTCGTTCTTATTTACCCAGAGGTGCTCGGCTTTAGTCTTCCATACTTTAAATGCCGTTATACGAGCAAAGTTAGGCTGGAACGAGGGGTCACTAAACTGGCTACGAGGTGCTCTGTGCAGCTGTATTGCAGTGATTTCACGAGAATCTCTTAATCCCCATGGAGACAACTGTGCAGATTCATGCCCACATTAGTAGTAGTGCAAATGTCATCATGACTGGAGAATTCTGTTACCCCCCCTCTCCCTTCATTTTGATGACAAGAATCATCTTAATGATGCTTAAAAAAATCTCTGAAGTTTCCCTTATCTCTTCCCAGTTTCAGGCTAGAGTAAGTCTCCTAACTGAGTGGGCATCGCCCTGTAAATTGGCTGGGTTGTTGGAATGACAGATTTTGGCACTTTTATGTGCAGCCTCTGTCATTATTGTCCCCTCCTGTTGTTTCTCTGTGGGTTGTGACTTGTCGCCTGGCACAGTGCCTCCTCCACTGTTAGAACCACTTGTCTAATTAGCTGATTCAGTCACTGTTGTTTTAATGACTCATTGTTTTACATGATGTCACCTCCAGAGTACTTTTTTTTCACATTTTTTTTATTTTAATGTTTTCTGTGTCTGCAAGAAACCGTATGAGTCTTCACTGTACTTTGACTATAGGATGCTAAGTTTTGTAAAGGTCCTCAAAATTTCAGTACAAGAGACAATTATACTCAGAGGTTTCTATTATAGACCTATAATGAAATTTTTGCTACATTTTAGATTCATATGAATAAAATATAATATCTGGCAAAACTTTTAAATCTTCATCAACTATTCATACACGCAGGCACACGCAGACTTTAACCTGATCATTACTGGCCTCCCTTTATCAGTGTCCCCTAAAATTGACACGTGACATTGATTCTCAGTATTGGCACCGATGTTGACAAGTGGTTGATAACCTGCTTCAGGCACATCTGTCTGTGTGTTAATTACCCCACTACATCACAGAGGTATGTTGTAACACTTAGAGGCTTTTGAAATTTTAATGATAAAACTAACTGCTCCTGGCTTCAGAGAAGGAATTATATCACCACAGAGCAAGAGACAGGACTCTTTGTTACCCTGCAGTTCTAGGCGCCACTAGTGCCTCTTTTACTTATCATGTTTTGGTTTGCTTTCCTGCTCACCAGCTTGCTTGCTGAGTAATTCTTTTACAGCAATCTCACATGTGAGGTCCTTGCACATGCTAATGAAACCAAACCGTGCTTGCGTGCGGTCGTCATATCTCTCAAAGATGATGTACTTAGTGTGGAGCTGCAGCGGTCTGATTGTTTCCCCTCTCATTTTTCAAGGTCTGGAATCTTTGAGTTGTCATGTCGATCGGTTGGTCAATACGCTCTCATCCGAACAAATTGGTCAGACAATCCCTGGGGTTACTTTGATAAGGAGAAAAGCTCTACATCAATAGCCTTCCAGGATTAACCCATTATCTTTAGAGCAGGCTACCTGTGGAAACAGGGTGTTTGTGCCTTTTAACATGACCTAAACATTTACTTCAAGTCAATCAAAGTGTAGGCGGCATGATCGTAACAGAGCTGATTAGTGGCGAGTTTGCATGTTAACTTGTTTGCTTTCAGGTGTTCTGTGTTACATGCTTGAGTAACCTTTGAGTGTGAGCATGCCAGAATTGGCGTATTTCAATAAGTTTGGTCTAAAAATAGTCTCGTAACAGCGGGCACA